TAAAATGTTAGTGTCTAAATGATTTTAATTTTTTAATTTATTGCAAAAAATTCACTTCAGTCAGGGTCTGAACCTGGACCTCCCTCTCACTAGGCGGGCGTCTCAGATAAAATAAGACTATAAGATGAAGTAATGCCCACTGTATTAGTAGGCATCGGTGAACATGATTTTGATCAGCGGTTTACCCCTCGATTAAGTACTACGGTCATATTGAAATTTTAATGCTAGTTGATCGCCCTCGTCCAAAAGAACTTGAGTGCCGAAACATAATTGAATACAATTCTCTGAGAAACCGCGTTAGAAGTTCGCAGGAGGAGTACGCGTTGATCACATCGTTTTACGCGAAACTCTCGTTTAAAAAGACCGAACGTTTGTGCGGCTGAAAGGATTTCGTTAAATCGAATCAATAAAAGCTTCGCCTGAGATCGATGCGTGCCACTCGATACAACCCACATTTTTAGTATGCGTTCTCACGCTGGTGGGGCCGTTTAATTTCCATTTCTAGGTATTCTAACGCGGCACTATGTTTCCACGTTGAGCAACAACTGCGTGATCGATCTCGGAGCATTCCTGCCACGGATGCTTTCATTTTTTCATTCGATTATTTGGCACCGTCAAGTTTCTGGTGTTTAACGATAAGTGATTTCCGGCGTCAGCACCGGTGAATACGATCTTGAAACTTTGCCGAGGACTCCAGGAGCAAACGGTTTTTCACGTTTCACATAAACCCCATGAAAGCCTCCGTGGAAAGAGAAAGCCGCTGAGATGACGATTAGAATTTGAGGATTCCGCGGATGTGCGAGTGCACGGAGATATTTACGTGATTGATTAACGGGGAAAATTGTGGGGGGGGGGGGGAAGGGAGACGGCGGTGAGAGATCGAGGGGGGTGCACGAGGGAGGGACGGTCGTAACGTTGCGGGTTTCGAGAGCCGGTGGCGGTCATATCGAATGCAGCGTGCGCGATATATGCTTCCGGTGGGCACGATGGGCGGAGTTGCGTGTCCCGTCCATCGGCGGCTTGTCCCTTTGGTAGCACTGCCGGGTATCTACCTATCTACCTGAGCCCGAGGGAGCCTGCGGCCGATGGACGCGTGCTGCGTATTGTGCGTGAATGCGCGCGTGTACGAGTATATGCGCGCGATTCCGCCGTGATTCCACCTAGGTATTGGTGGTGCGTCGCGTTGTTTATAGCCGCTTCTCCTCTTTCCCGACGACGAGGGCCGCTGCATACAAATTGCTCTCTCGCTCGGAAGAGGAGGAACTCGCCGTCTCTCTCGTCTCTCTCACCTGCGACGAGGAGGACAGGCGGGGGGAGGGGAGGGGGGGAGGAGGAGGAGGAGGAGGAGGATGCTCGTTTACGCGCGTGAACGCCCCGTGCGTGCGCTATGTGGAAGGATATTACGCGGTCGCGACGAGACGTACGTCGGTACCGGGCACCGGTGGATTTTTTACGACCCCGGGACACACCGGGGATAAAAACTGCCAGAAGGCTGAAGAACCGTTCGGCGAACGCTGATAGGGAGACGCCGTTTTGTCGCGAGAACGTTGCGCTGAGGGGGTTTTTTTTTTACGTTCACGGTGTCATCTGGTAGATGAGGCCTCGAAAAGGAATGGTTGTCACTGTTAAACACTTTTTATTTTGCAATTCCGACGATGTTAATCATCTATGAACGTCAAAATTTGACTGGGAACTTAATCGTTTATCATTCAACACCAGAGACTTGGCAGGGTTAAATAATTGGATAAAAAAAAAATCGGGAATTTTTTAAGGCAGCAAAGTTCGATCCGTCGACCGCAGTTGTTGCTCGATGTTAAAATATAGTGGTGCGTTAGAATGCCTAGAAATGGAAATTAATCTCACCAGCGTGAGATCGCATACTAAAAATGTGAGAGAGATGTTCCGAGTGGCATACATCAATCTCAATCGAATCTTTTATTGATTCAATTTAACAAGATATCTTTCCAACTGTAAATATTCGCATTATTATTATTAATACTAGAAAAAAGTTTTATGAATTTGAAGTCTTTCTTAAATTATTACATATCCGTGAATATGTACACAGTAAAAAATAAAATGTTAATGTTAACACTTTTCACATGTTCCCAAAAAGTCCACTCCAACTTTTTAAAATAACATTCATTGTGTGTGTAATTACTTTTTGACAAATAATAAATGTTAATTAATTAACACTATACTTCACGTTTATGTTCTTTTAACCATAAGTGTAATGTAATAAAAGCAGACAGCATAAGTAAACTGTACGAATAGTTACAAATAGTTGAAATACTCTTTAAGAAATGTCGATATTACATGTTCTGGTTGATTTTGTAAAATAGTTGTGTTAAAAGAACTTAAAATGATATTTAATTTTTAAATGGTATACATAAGGTGTCACGTTCTTATAATGTTAACATAAATATAAGACAAAAATATTCCGAAAATAATAACATCTGTTTCACGTTAATTTTACATTGAAACAATAATCAAGTCTTGGTAACACCAGAAAATTTTAACATTTCAACGCACGATTTCTTACTGTGTATTTATGCGTGATTAAATTTATATTTTAAATAAATTATATTCACGATTCACGAATATTTTCAGAATGTTTGCATCTACCGAGTAGATCGCAACAATTTTCTCTAAATATAATAATTGTGCATTCTCGCTTTTATGTGCGTACCGAGGATCGTTTAAAAAAAAAAGGGAGCAATCTTTCTGCCCGTGACATGCACATGTGCGTGTATAACGGTATTTAAATTTATTTTTTCCGAATTTCTCGAGAACAGGCATTCGGTCGCAAAGATTTGATCGGGGGAAAAACCGCTGAGGGCATTGTGGTGTACAGATTTGCGGCTTTACTGGGCGTTACTAGGCATTTTTTGGGCATTAGTTTGGACATAAAAATAAGATAAAACAAGATAAATGAGATAAAATAAGATAATAAGGTAAACTGGGCATCAGTGGGCATCGGTGTCCCAGAATTTTGGTCAGCGGTTTTTCCCTCGGATTTGATATTTGAAAATTTCGGCAGCATCGATAACGGGTGACGGAAACGGTACACAGATTCTCTCTGCGGAAAGTGTCAAGGTGACCACGGCGGGAACGTTGGCCCGGCGGATGTATGCTACGTGGAAAGTAATGGTAACGAAGGTCACCGGGGGTCTTCCATAGATCTTGTTTGGAAGTCGTTAAAGTACCTCTTCCCGGAATTTCTCCGTATATCGGGGTAAAGATCGCATCGCCGCGCGAGAGAGCCGCTCTTTCTCCCTCGCACCTCTTCCTCCCTCTTTCTCTCTCTTTCCCTCGAGATCCGCCGTCCGCTTTGCAATTCCGATCTTGCACCTCGATAGTTACCTCCGCTGGCGAGGTGCCCCGTCCTCATTTTTGGTACCACACCATAGCGCGCCGCGGTCTTCGCGTCTCCTCGGAGGTCAACTTCGGAAGAAGCTATCGAGAGGCGATTTCAATATTCGATAGGACACGACTTGCTTAGGAATTCGCAGAGTGCTCTTCAAGGTTTGGATCACGCTTCAGAGGGAATCGCCTCTTTCGCGACGAACTTGAGTGTCTGAATTCTTTCTCTTCAAGACAACCGGAATAATTTCAGATGCGCGATCAACGTTTCCCGAGTTTCCACGTTAGTCAAACCCGCGCACGAGTCGATAAATCGCCACCTTATCATTGCGGCGTTCATAAAGGCCTGTGTGTTCACGATGCTAGAACTTGAACCAGGTTCTAGCGTCGTGGACACAGGTCTTGACAAATCCTACCGTATAAAACTTTTAATAAATCCGGATAGAGTGTATCCGGATAGAGATTATTCCCTTATAAATCCCGTCGCGACGTCATCAGAACGAAATGGAATGTGTCGCAGGCACCGGAAATACTGCCACGGACAACGCCTACAAGCCATCCTTCCTCACGGACCAGGAGCTGAAACACTTGATCTTGGAAGCGGCGGATGGTTTCCTGTTCGTGGTGAGCTGCGACACGGGCAGAATCATCTACGTATCCGACTCGGTCGCGCCGGTGCTGAACTACACCCAGAGCGACTGGTTCGGCAGCAGCCTCTACTCGCAGGTTCATCCCGACGATACCGAGAAGGTGCGGGAGCAGCTCAGCGCGGCGGAGCCGCAGCACGGTGGCCGAGTGTTGGACCTCAAGACCGGAACGGTTAAGAAGGAAGGTCAATGTAAGTGAAGAAACAAAAAAAAAGAAACGAATCGCCCGATCGTACGACACAATTTCGAGTCTCTATTCCACCGAGCCATCTTATCGTTGGTTCGTAATTTTTATTATTAGATTATTATTTTATTGTTGGGCGAGATTTTACTCGCGTTTCTTGGAGTTTAGTCGAGACGACCGCGACCAGGATACTCGGGGAAAAATATGTTCGCGGGATGAAACGATCGCTCTTCCGATTGCAGCCTCGATGCGGCTGTGCATGGGCTCAAGAAGGGGCTTCATCTGCCGCATGAAGGTCGGGAATCTGCAGACCACGGGCGACATGGCAGCGGCGCATGGGCTGTGCCGTATGAAGCAGAGAAACTCCCTGGGACCGCCAGCGCGGGACGGACAGAATTACGCGGTGGTGCACTGCACCGGATACATCAAGAATTGGCCACCCACAGGTGAGTTTCGTCGTCTGCGCCGAGTCGAGAGAACGCAAGATCGTACGTCGTCGATGCGCCACCACCGGGTAACGGTGGTCTCGGCTCTTCCTCTCTCGCTCTCTCCCTCTTTCTCGGGCGCGACGTACAGCGGGCCCCGGCTTTCTATTTTAAAGCGGGGGAGACGTCGCGCCCGAGGAATACGAACGAACCGTTCCTGGAACACGGCGGAACGCGTATGCCACGTGTGTACTGTAAATTAAGAACCGCCTCGGGTTGCCTGAATTTTTCGACTCCGCGTATCTCGTCAAATATTCTATATTTAATTAAACGTATTAATTTTGAGCCACCGTGGAACGTAGTACCGCAGAAACTGGGAGAACATGTCGCGACTGATGAGTGAAACCGATAAAGAAAGAGAAAGATTTAAAACGATTAAGAGAAGAAAGAATATTATCAGATGCTTTTCTCATCGGTTTTCCGGTTTGAAGTACTTGTTCTGTTCAGAGTATACTCATTTAACCGCTGAATGGAAAGTCGTCGCCATTAAGAGTCGTAGTGGCGAGGTAGTTATCGGCTGTTAACATATTTGTTTAATATTCATCATCACGTGCGTGGCTCTTTTTGTTCCATCGATAGCTTTGTGGCGGCCGCTGATTAATTCAATCTTATCGGTTACATTAAAAAAGAAAGATACAGCGACACCTTCCGCGCACATTAAATGCGATAGAGGCGCGATAAATCGATCGCTTCGCAACTTTCGAATTTCAAAACGCACCGATATTACTTTACGTAGCATTTTAAGATATAGCTTTATGACAATCATAAATTGTTATTACTCTGATATGTCGGTGTATCAGTTTGAGATTTTTCGAGTTTAGACCATAGCGTACAGTTTTAGTGTAAGACAAATTTCTACAAGCCAATCAACGAGAAATCATGCACTGATTCATGATTTTACGCTGTAGGTGATTTTGTTCCCCCATGTGTACCAGGTGTGGGTCTAGGTGACAGAGGTCCAGGGGGCGTTCAATCTGGTCCAGACGGCGTGGATGAGAATGCTTCCACGCACTGCTGCCTTGTCGCCATTGGGCGATTACAGGTCACTAGCACACCAAATAGTAGCGACTTAGCAGGTTCCAATAGCAATAGCGGTAAATATCGTCTTATTGCATATTGAGATTTAGCGGAGCCAAAGCTAGTTTTCGTTATAAATTATGTCTTTGTTCGTTGCAGAATTTATATCACGCCACTCTGCAGAAGGTAAATTTACCTTCGTGGATCAAAGAGTCGGCGGAATTTTGGGTTACACTCCATCGGAACTCTTAGGTCATCCTTGCTACGAATTTTTCCATCCGGAGGATCTGTCACACATGCGGGAGAGCTTTGAACAAGGTAATGCTCCGCACTGTACACTTTTAAATGTTCCATCAATTGTTAACATGTAGCTTGCTCTCCAGTGTTGAAGTTGAAAGGGCAAGTCGTGTCCGTGATGTACAGATTTCGGGGTAAGAACCGCGATTGGGTATGGTTGAGGACGTCGGCATTTGCGTTCTTAAATCCGTACAACGAAGACATCGAATATATCGTCTGCACAAACACGCATGCAAAGTAAGAATATAATTGCATCTAAAGTTGCAGGATATCTTACGTTACGTTCTTCTTCATTTCTTTGCTTTACGTGGAAAAAATATTCGCATGTCTTTATCCAGGTCGTTTCATCCTAGTAACGACGGTCAAACGGAGAGTGAAGTTGTACCTGCATATGGACAACCTGGCCTGGATTATTCCCTTCAGAGACATCCTACCAGGGATCCGCTCTACTCTGCGCATCACATGATACAGCATCCAGCAACTGTAGCTACAGCCAGTAAGACGATTATTTTTATACTATTTTCTATCGTTTTTCTATTATTTTTGTTACACAGTCAAATAGTTGAGTGCACGTCATTCGCAGGTCCGCAACAACCAAGGCCGTCCAGCACACAGAACGTATACCAGAGCTACGAGACGACGCAGTCGCCGATAGCTTATGGGTCACCTGGACAGCAAAGCGCGTCCTCATCGGTCTTAAGTAGGATCCAGAAGCCAGCTAATACATCCCCAACTCCGCAAGCATGGGCGATTGGAAGACAGGTACTTAATTCTTCGTTTTTCAATAGATTCAAAAAGTTACGATCTAATCTAAAACTTGTGCATTCGCCAACAGCAACCTGTGACAGAAGGCTACCAGTACAGTCAATTAAGTCCATCAAGGTCACCGAGTGGACCGACGTACACTCAGCTCAGTAGCGGCGCTAGAACTCCGGCTACACAGCAATATCACGCAGTCACAACAGTGCCTAATAATCCTGGTTGGTCTTCCAACATATCTTGCGTTGCTCCACTGTACAAAGATATTACGCAAAATTGCAAATAATTAAATGTGCATTTGTCGTCAGGTATGTGGGGTTGGCAGAGTCAGCAGCATCAGACGCAGCAACCGGACGGACAGACTGGCCCTCAGGTATCTGCGCAGGCACAGCCGCCGCATCCTGGTCAGGCCGGGCCCGGTACACAGCCGCAAGAGCTGTCCGACATGCTGCAGATGCTGCAAGATCAGGGCGGCTCGTCTGGCTTCGAGGAACTGAACATGTTCAACACTAATTTCGAGTAGCAACGAGAAAGGCGATACGCCTCTGAGAAGCAGCTTCTTTAGAGGAATTTTCTCTCTTCCGGGCTTTCCCTGGCTGTTCAATATCACTTCGAGGATTTGATCTTGGGCATCGCAATCCGCACCCTCACGTCAGCATCCGGAGGATCGTTCACGGAGAAAAGAGAAACGCGATTTAACAATTTAGCACCGCATATATAGACTTTACGCAAAAAAAACGATCGCACTGGGATTAGGACAGCCTAGTCTACCGGATTATTTACATATTATACATACGTATTATAATGAGAGGTTTTTGATTCATTGTCATGGATATCAGACGCTATTGGGTATGATCGTCGCGTCACGCGCTGATTATTTCCAGAATTATGAGCATGGTTTCGCTGCGAAAATACCATTAAGACATCAAGAGCGACTGTACGTCATGACAGTTATTAATTAGTGCTCGAAATAAATTATAATGCGCACAGATGGGCTACCCACATTTGGCATAAGCTATTAAATATAAAGTGACATTTTACATTTATAAATTTTACATTAAAATAAAAGGCGCAACCAATAAAGATACTAATAACTGGTAAATGCTTTCAAATGATTTAGACGATTGTATTTCGATGAATCTGGAATTAAATTTTAAAAATTAATTCCAAATTTATTCAAATCTATTCACGATGAGGAAAACTATTTATAAATGATGTTGATTGATTAGTGAATGGCCTGTAGATGAATATTCATGGCCTTATTACAGGTATTCTAAACATATGTAAGCATCTGTGCTTATTATACAAATCAAGTGACAATTTTAATTTTCATGACAATTTTAAGGTATCATGCGATTCGATAAATATTTAACGAAGAAAAAGAAAAATGAAAATAACAAAAGTGTACTCTCTAAACAATAAGAAAAAGTATTTTTAAAAAAAAACTTCTCAATCAAAAATCTATACACAAATCACGGTAATTTTAATACCAGCTTATCGTTAGATTTATAAGGTTAGCTTAATTATTTTAATTTAGATCTTTGTAATTATAAACAGTGCAATCGTAAACCAACACGCGACAAGAAATCGTTCGAGACATTGACAATGTACAAAAATTGTGTAATCCACCTTTGCTTCTCTGTGCAAGACACCGTTTTTAGATATTCTTAAAGAAAAAAAAATATAGATAATGTTACACATACGAATAATTGCATTTATAAGTAACCACGTGTGACTTAGCGCGTTTGTACGTGTTTTAGCAAATTTTGACAAGCACATTGAAACGAAATTGCAGCATATCATGATGAATTGGGAACATTTTTCACTAATATATGAACTATACATATACGCATGATTTTTTTTTAATCATCCTACATCGCGACGAGAATAGTACCATCACTTTTTGACAATAACTAATATATTGAGCCTGGTGCAGGCGTCAATATTTATATGCGAATGTTAAGTATGAATTCGTCTCTATCAAAGGAGATTACTTTACAAATCCCTCATCCACTGTTATATATTCCTTTGCACACTATCCACCCGCGTATTATAGCTCCACAAGAATCCGCGATTCATATGATTTAAAGAGCGAAGGGTGTTAGAAATGCATACGTATATCATGCAATAAAGGTATAAAAAATATTTTTAGTGTACACATGTATCTTACATTACGCAAAGAGTGTAAAGAACTTACGCGTTGCCGTAAGTTCTTTAATAATTCTCGTTAGTTACTTTCCTTTTCGGTAATAATAAATGATGGCACAAAAAGAAGCAAGACGAAATCTTGAGAGGGTATAATGAAAAATACGAAAATTTAATTTAAATCTTATTTAAACAAATTAAAAATGTAAAATACAAAATTTACAATTTTAACTTTACAGCCGAAATGGCGCCAGTCTCCTTCTTAGACGATTTGTCTTTTTTAATTTTAACTTTACTTTTGACTTGATTTTGTAGCTTCGTGAAAAACGCAGTCGAGGACTTGGCGACTTTGTGCGTTGTCTCATTCAACTTTGTAACGTTCTTGTCCTTGGTTACTTTCTTAAGCAATGCAGCCTTTTCTTTCTTATCCTTATACTTCTTGGCGATTCCTGGTTGCAGTGCTTTCAGTTTTTCCTTCTCTTCTATCGCCTGCTGTTTGGCCCGCTGCCTCGATTTCTTTCGCCTTCTCTCGCGCTTCATATCAGTTTTCGTCCGTTCTGATTTACCGATAACGTCGCCGCGTTGTTTGGCTGGAAATAAGAATTATAGATAAAATTACAAAAAAAAACGTATCGTACACCAATGATAGCTATATTAAATATAATATGACAAATACCTTTCACTTCTTCAGGCGCCAATAGAGTAGCGTCAGTGGTCGTGACAGGTGCCACTTCTTCCATGTTAACTGCAGGTATATTGCTGATGATTCTAATTTCTGGTTTAGCCTAAAAATCATATGTATTCTAAACATTGTAAACCATTGGGAGCATCTCAGAGTTTCAAAGGAAACTTAGAAACGTTTACAGAGTTATTTCCTTTTTGGTTGTAAATATTTCTTCTACTCTAAGTGTCTCACATTTATATAAATTCCGATTAACTTTTAACACGTAAATCATGACAAATCTTACCATCTTGGGGGTGTAATGGTAATTAGACAACGCGTCTAATTTAGCTACTACAGAACGCATCATTTGTCGAACTTCATTATGCAATTGTGGTGTTTCCTCTCTCTTCTCGTCGTTCTCTGGATCCAACTTTTGCTTCTGCCTGAGGTATTCCTTTTCGTAAATTTGCGACAAGCTCTCCTTGCTTTTCTCTTGATTGAGTATCAATTTTTTCTTATACTCTAACGGTGTCTCGACGGGCTTGAACTTCTTCTCGACGTCGTCCCAGGCCTTATCTTTAATCCGTTGCTTGATTACGTCCTCCAACTTCACGGTGGTCTCCTCGGTGATCACGGGAGCCGGTCTTGCATTTATATCGACAACCACAAACTCCTCCAGCAGGGAATTTTGCGGTCGATTCGGACCACTTACTTCGCCCTTCAATTGCCACGGCTTCTCACTCATCGCTTCCTCTTCCAATTCTTGAATTCTCATTAGCAGTCTATCCTGACGAGACTCCAAAGTGGATTTCAGTTCTTCGTCTTCCTCCATCTTTTCTTCTTTACTCCTCTTATTATGATTTACTTTATTCTCCATGCTATCCGTTTCATCCGAGTCGTTGGCAAGATTGAATCTTACCTTCTTGACTGTCTGATCCTCTTCATCCTCCTCGTCAAGATCCATTTCTTCATCCTCTAGTTCCTCCTCTTCAGAATCCCTGTCGCTGTCTAAATTTTTGCTTTTATTAGCTTGCTCATTCTCACTTTCAGGACTGTCGAAGAAATCTGCATACTTTATGTATTTCTTTTCTATACTATCGCCTCCATCTTCCTCCTCGGAAACATCGTTAAATAAATCTACCGACTCGTCATCAGATTCGTTGCCCTTTCCTTGTTCATCTTTCCGCTCTTCTTTAATTAAATATTCATCCAGTTCTTGTAACTTGAAGAATTTGTCGTCCACTACGGAGGATTTCGTATGCTTTCTCTTTTTTAGCTCGCCTTCAGTTTCCACGTCTTCGTCCTCCGACTTCTTCTCCTCGGACATGCCCTCAGCCTCTTGATCAAAATTATCATTTTCAATCTTTATAGGCTCGGGCTTATTGGAGCTCACCGGAACCACGAATCTTCTACTTTCAGACAAAGCTGAGATCTCATTTAAACAGTGCGCTATCTCGCCCTCGTTTTGCAGCTCCAATTGCTGCCAAATTTGCTCCTCGTCGAAGCCATCCGTGACTAATTCTGGTAATGCGTTTCTATAAAATTTTTCCGTTTTGCAGGATTGCTCCTTGGCGAAATCATAAATCGTTTTTGTAAGGGCCGTTACATCCACTTTATTTGTCCCACTAAAATTGAAAAAAACAAAAGACGTTCTCAAAAGTTTTTTTACGTTTAGTACAAAGTCTCATTCTGTACTCGATGTGTGAATTGTTGTTATACAATTTCGTTATTCTTAGCACTATATTTTACATTCTACTCCTTTCTTTCTACGGTGATAAATAACAATTATTTTTCTTATTTTAGGATGTCTTAGGTTAACGGTTAAATAACATTCACATTTTAATTACCTCTTTATTTCTTCTAGCGAGCTGATACTACCTAGCGTAGACACAATATCAGCAAGAACACCGATGCTGGCCATTTTCCATTAATAACAAGCTTGTCAAATAATATTTTATAGATAAAAAAGCTAAGAACACGCGCACATGGCACGGCTGTCGTCAACTATGGGTATGGGC